CGCCTTCCGGCCGCGTCTCTGCTCCCCGGGGAGCAGCTCAAGGGGAAAAAAACACCCGGCTGAGGCAAGGCCACGGTCTCGTTCGAGGTTCTGGCTGCTGTCGTATGCATTTCTCTGTACAAATCGTGAAGCTGGCATACTGGGTTCCTTCAATCTGTGAGCGCAGTTCGAGTCCGCCTCTGAGAGACAAAGCTGGCTCTGGTTTGCGGACAGTGAAACAAAGCGAAGCGGAAGGGTGGGGGGAGCGAAGCTTCCGTTCCTGGGTTTGCAAAGCCAAGGGTCCAGCCTTGGACCACGATGCACTCGCCGGGGCCTCTGGGGAAGAGGGGCAGATGCCGCCTTTTTCCCAGGCCGCCTCAGCACCGGCACCCGCGTCGTGTGTGCGCGGAGAACTTCACACCTACGATCCGGACAGCAACATACAAGCACCCGTGCGCCCCCCCCTCGGCTTTAGTAAATCTTGGTATTTCACGCTCACCGCTCTAAGGCTTTCCATGGCGGGCCAACGCCACGCCTCATCCCTTCCCTGCTGCTGGCTGACTTCTCCCTGTCAGCAATAACACAGTGGTGGACGCGGTCTTCTTACATAAAGCTTCTCGGCCATTAGGTCCCCGCAAGGGGCCAGTCACAGATGGATGTCCCTCTTCAACTGAACGTGAGACAGTCAACTGCTCTCTATAATGGCTGTTACCAGTTTCGCTCCTGCTCCCAAGGCCCCGAGTTCATGTGGCTCCACGGTCTTCCCGCCCCTTGGTATCACCGGAGAATTTTTATTTGGCCAGGCAGACTGGTACGAAACAGCTGTTCGGGGTTCCACTTTTTATTACCTCCTTACTACTTGATGACAGGAATTTAGATCTTCTGGACGTCATCCTTCTGTCGGCCAGATGCACTGTAGGAACGTTTTCCAAGTCTGTGGCAGATCCTTTAATTTTGTTCGCGATGTCTTCTGTCAAACATGCGTCTTAAGTCAGACTTTTCAAACTGGCCCTGGGGTAACGTTCTGATGACCTAAGGTCATTAATATATTCTTTGTAGGTTTTCTTCCAGATGTTTTAACTTTTATTCATTTATTTTATTTATTTGAGTGAGAGAGAGAGAGAGAGAGAGAGAGAGAGAGAGAATCCCAAGCAGGCTCTGCACGATCAGCACAGAGCCTAACGCGGGGCTCGAACCCGCGAACCGTGAGATCACAACCGGAGCCGAAACCAGCCAGCTGCACGCTCAACCGACTGAGCCGTCCAGGCATCCCTGGATGTTTTAAAACTTTCACAAATACGTTTCGCATTTACATTCTCTAACTGCCCATGTATATTTTTATGAATGGTAGGACTAAGTGATCTCATTTTTTCTACATGGATGATTCGTGTCTCAGTACCGCTTAACAGCTCATTACTTCACCCCTGGTTTGGAATGTCACTGCTGTCACATTGCATTTTTTATATGCAGACGTCTACTGCTGGTTCCATTTCTGCTCTGTTCACGTAACCTTGCATTCGCGCCATGCTGCCTTAACTGGAGGTAAGTCTTCGCCTCCGACAAGGCAGGCTGCCTACGATGCGTAGTTCTTCATTCAAGATACTTTATTGGCTATTCGGGGCCATCTGCCTTTCCTTATGAATTTAAAGATCAGTTCTTGAAGTGCCATGAAAGAAAGCACCATAGGACACTGTACTGAATTCACAGATTAATTTGAAGAGCATCAGTATCTTTATAATACTGAGTGGGTTTGGGTTTTTTTTTTCCCTTCAGTTATGTTTTTTTTTTTTTTTT